CTTATAAGGCCCCTACATTTGTATTTTTTTCATATTGCAGTTCTTGTGATTTTGTATTTAAAAGTACAGGTACGACTTTAGACAGGAGTTATAATTACTTTCTGTATAATTTTTAAATAATATTTGAGCAAATAAAAGTTTGGGTGTTGGAGACATAAAGAACACACATAAACTATTAGTATATATCTACAACCAAGTCAAATAAAGCTTCAGCAAAAAAAAAAATGCTTGAATGACGTATAGACTGTCCAAATTAGTTTACTATATTGTTTTTATTGCGAAAAGTTTATACCCTCGCCCTAAATTGATAATCATATTTTAATAAAAAATGTTATACAAAATAGATTTTTTGCCCTTAATTTCTTTTACAATGTAGTGCCATTTGCTAAAGAATCAATATACACTTTGAATACAAATCTATATTGACGCAAGGTTTATGTCCTAATAAACTTATATATACTTTGAATAACTGTTAGTCAAAGTTTGTAGAATTTGAATTTTCCTTGTACAAAATTCATTTATCATTCTAGATATTTTACTTGTATAAAATTTTGACATTTTCATGTACAAAGTATATATGCGTATGTTTTAAGAGTCTATTCTTGTTACATGTCACACCATTGATTCAGCACCATCTTTATACACATATTCTTTCTTTTTGCGAAAAGCAACATATATATTTTATTGTTGTTTCACATCATCTACTCTCCTCACATATCATGATATGCTATTGATTCTAGGTGCACAAGTAAATTCCTATTAAGATAGTTGTTGATTGATCATATCTTGAACCTTTCTTAGAATCCATCGGTTTCTTAGATTTTGTTTGTCCCTTTTTATCATGCATAGTAGAGTAAAGGTTTTGATATGTGGATAGGGAATAGACAAAACTGATCCTCTATATTGTTCCCTCCTCTACTTTATTTGATAAGATCATATGCCCTTTCCAACTCCCACAAACAACCCAAAGTGTTTTCTATTCATTCAATGGCTAATGTTTTGTGAGATTGACAACTCAATTTGTTTTTTCCTAGAATGTGCATTAGAGCATCTCCAAGAGTCTCTCTTAAACTTATTCTCTGAATCATCATTTGAAGAGCCATTTGAATAAAAACCGCTCTCTTAATATTTTCACTTTCCAATAGCTTCTCTATATCTTGTACGTACTCTAGAGATCCAATCTCACCCTCCATCTTTGGCTAGCAAGAAACTTGGAATAAAGAATAACTATTTTTGGAAATCTAATTAAAGAAGCTATTGGAGGATTTTTTTTTACCAAAATATATAAAGAGTCTCTTGGAGTTGCTCTTACGACACATATTTCATTAATAGAGGGAAGTTTGTTTCAAACCGAAAGGCGAACATAGAGAAAGGAGGGGGGGGTGGAGGGGAGGACACTCATTGGTAATGCTTTTTGAAGTTTAGGATTGAGTAAACCTTGGTAATAGGTAGCTAGCTCATGGCAAGATCGTTCAAGACTTGATATTATATTATTATGTATGCATATATCTCTGTTTCACAATTTAACTGCTTGAGTTATGGTGCTTTAGATGGCATGGATGATTTATCTCAGGACATTTAATTTATATAGGCTTTGCAAAAAAAAAAGAATTAGGTCTAAGTAATACGGTGTTATTTGGAATATATAGCTACCATATATTATATTACATCGATCCCAGCAGCTAACTATTCAATTTGCATACATCAAGCCCCTAATTGATAGAATGTCTCCACATATTAAATTGTTTAAATTAACCCATAGCTGAAAGAAATTATACATTGGAAATGTTTCGACTGATCACAAGGTCCAAATAAATAAATTAAAGGCTAGCTAATAAGCAACTATATATTTTTCTTATTAATTAACTAGTTCGTCATTTGATGTGTACTCCCTCCGTCCTGTAATATAGCACATACCAGCATTCAAAAATTGTACTCAAATATAAGGGATTCTAGGGGACAAAAAACAGTTTTGTATTAAATACTTTCCACTTATCAATCAATCACCATTAATCATGTCGACGATAACGTTTGATTAGGAAATACAGTGAGGGCACATGCATCTTTTGCACGTGTTCTCTCTTATTCTGTCCTAAGATTTCTAGAATGCACTATTACCTATAGCTATAACTAGGGGCAGATCTAAAGGGGTTCATCGGGGTCTGTCGACCCCGATGAAATTTGTATATCATGTAGTAAATTACTATTCATGCTCACGAAATTTTATATCATGTAACGAAATTGACCCCGATGAGCCCAATGATGTTCTTAGCTAGATTCACCACTGCCTATAACTAATTGATTGATGTAATTAAAAGCATCACATTGCTTATAATTCAATCTTGAACTATGCGTGGGAATGATCTTATTTTGTGTCCCTAGTGTGCATATATACATATCTTAAGGGTAGCTAGAGCAACTCGTGCTCCGATGTAATACCACCATCAGCATGACCTCAGTTATATGTGCTATATATGTGTGCACTGCAATTAGTAGCACAATGCAATTTTGGGCGATGCAAAAAGGTTTGAGGCGATCGAAAGCCCAACGACAGTATACACGCCAAAATTGGTACCGTGCCTTCTGGAATCTCTGGAGTCCGGAGATGTAGAGCCCATATATATGTTATATATGCTGATGACCTCCTTATCCTTTGTAGTAGTACGTTTAGAGAGAAAAAAAAAACAGGATGCAGAAGTCAAGGAGCTACCGGTCAGGCCCAAAAACAGACAGAAGGCACGCACACAGAAAACAGGTTGAGAGAAAGCTCTAGGCTCTAACAACAATATGCATATCATCACGATCTATCTCTTCCTCATCAGCGGCAGGTCGACGGCAGCTGTGCATGCATCTTGCATGGCTGCAGAGCCAGCAGCCAATTGAGTGGATCCCAAAAGGCAAAAGACAGGTCTCTGGTTAGTTATCGGCTGCCAGCGCACACACTGACAAGTTGCAAAAATGCAGACGCTACTGACGTACACGTGCGGGTGGACAATTTCTAGTCCACCACTAAAAACTTAACCAGCTAAGCTCGCTTAGTTCATGATCAATGATCGATATAGATGTCCAAATGGGCGGCACGGCACGACACAACGGCCATATTCGGTTCTCTTATAATCCGTACTTTTTAACTTGTTTTTTTAGCCAGAACAGTATTTTTCTCTCACAACAAATCAGCTGAACAGTGTTTTGGCTTGTTTTTTCAGCGAAACGAACAGGGCCAACACATGAATAGAATTTTACTCAGTTCAACTCAAAGTGCATATTGTTAAATTTAACATACATGAATAGAATTTAACTACTTAGTTCATCGATAATCAGAGTAAAATAAAATCAAAGTACACTTTTAATAATCTTCGATATCGAAGTGAACTAAATTATAATGGATAATTATTTAATAAAATGATATGTCAAGTGAAGAAATTCAAATAAGAAACAAGTAGTCGTTTTGCTTTTATCAATATTTTTGTAATTACAAATTTATTACACAAGTAGAGATTAAAATATGTGTATACAACGTAGACAAGGATAGCCCAACAAAAAATAACATAGTTATAAATACATATTTAATAATTAAATATATCAATTAATCAATCATTATTTATATAATATTTATCATCAAATTATAAATTACATAAAATAATTTACATCAATAAATTAATTAATTAAAGTATTAAAGGGAATTTACAATAACAAATATATTAGGTTTAAACTAAATTAGAAAAAAAAACTAAAATTAATTTAATCTTTATGTACCATTAATAATATTAAAGTAATATTTAAAGTTATTTATAGATATACTATTAAATAGTTTCAATGCATCGTTAGTAATGTTAAAATTGAATAATTAGTCACTAGTCATAGAGAGAAAACTTTTATATAGATTCATTATACCTTGCTCTTCACGAATACAGATAAATGTCGGATATTTCATAGTTTTGTCTAATTTAGAACTGGAATCGAATAGAGAAAAATCCTGAAAATGAATTCGGATACATCCATTTAGTATCGACATTAAAAACGGATACAAATACGCATGTCGATATTACAAGTTTTAGTGGACACAGACGTCGGACAATTTAGATATCCATTTTCATTTTTCATCCCCTAGCCACAAGTGCAAACATTGTCAGTGCATTGGCGTGCTCTTGCATGTTGAAATCCGCTCAAGGTTGGTCCAGCTCCGCCTTTTGTAACGAGAGCCATCACATTCCATGAGCGCTCCAGGACCTAACCATGCGAAACACACGGAAGATTTTGCCTGGTAGCACCAGAAGCCAAATGCAAAGGCATTGCAAGTTTGCAACTAGTTGTGTAGCACTAGATTTTCTTGGTGGGTAGCGTTGCAGGAGTATATTATATTTACTTACATGTATGAGCAAGAACAGAGACTGGCCAGGGTAAAAAGTTGGCCCACATGGCAGCGACGATTCAGATGTTCATTGGAGTACTGTTGTGTAACAGCGGTTTGCTAGCATCCATATATATTGTACAGTGTGCAGCCGAGAACCTGAAGTACATGGACTATCTCCACTCTGACCAACTCGGCATATAAATTACTTCTATCTGCTAGTGTTAACAGACATTTCTGATGTACAACCTTTCAAGTAAATCTCAGGTCTCATGTTGCGTTTGCCGCCTCACTAAAAAAAGAAGGTAAATTATTTCGTTTAAAAAAAAAGAATAACTAAACCTACTCGGCAAGAACAATAGGACACCATAAGAGTTTCCAGACAGACAATATTCATTTCCCTTAACATTGAGGAAGAACAGAACGGTATGTACGCTGGTCAGTGGATGAGGTGTCAGTCATCCGATCGCATAAGAACACCCAAATGGGGGCAAGATCTCATGGCATGGAGCATGGACATGGACACAAAAATACAAAGAGTGGGCACGGGGCGCAACGGAAGGAGCAGCTCTCTCAGTGTCGAAAACTGCTTGATCCCGTCAAAGAAAATCCCATGCTATCAAGAGATTAGAAGTTGTATTTACGCCTGTCAGCGCCACTGCTTGGCCATCTCCTCGTCGAGGATTTGGGCAGCCTGCCGCCTGGAGAAGTCGTCCAGACTGCTGTTGCTCACCAGTAGACTCCGTAGGGCTAGCAGCTCATTGCGGTTGGCTCGCTGGAACAGCTCCCTTAGTGCATGCAGTGGACCCTGAGCCTGAAGTGGCGCCATCTGCCGACTGTCACGATCTTCAGTGACAATATGGCGCCTGGATCTCCAGAACTCTGTGCAGATGTGATCTCTGTCCTGTGCCTCGATTGCCTGAGAGGAATTAAAGGAATGATTCAGCCGCACAAATGTCAGTCACCAGTGGCCTGAGAAATTAATAGCATAGGCCAAGCTGCACAACTACACACTTAACAAGCCTAGCATGTGGCAGCAACGGCTGCTATGTGTGAACCATCATACAGTTATGCAACCCTGAAACAGGTTTCACTTCTCATGAAGTTGGTGTGTTTCAGTGTTTCTTCTCTTTTTCTCGTTTCTTGAGATGTAGTGTGTTTCAGAGTGCTGTCAAGTGAATGGTTTCCTCACCTGAACTATTGACGGTGACAACAACCCAAACATTTCAAAACCATCAACTGATCCTGGTGGCTGTAGTGCAGGAAGGTTAGCTCTTCCCATACTGAGTTGCCTCCGTATCTCCATATTCAGCCTCTCACGGACCATGCTCCAGCACTTGGTAGGTGAGACGTTGATAAAAAGTTCACCTGGACAGTTTTCCAGAGTCACCTGTAATATGCATCAAGCAACATATATCAAGATACAGAAGAACAGATGTACAGATGGTACAAAAGGCTGAAATTTACCATAAACAGAGGTCCCTGCGGTCCGGCGTCTAATATTTCAGATATGTAGTACGCCATTTGTGTTGGATCCACGATGCTTAAGTATTTTACTCTGCTCCTGAACCCTGTGTTTACAAAGGTAAAACATGTTAAGGAAATCAGAAAAACATAAATCAAACTGTTGACAAAAATCAAATACTCCATCTATCCCTGAATAAATAGATTCATGGAGTTGTCTTAAGTCAAACTTTTTAAACTTTGACCGAATTTCTAGAATAAAACGTTAAGATTTATGGTATCAAATTAGTATCATTAGATTTACCATAGAATATATTTTCATAAGGTGCTTATTTTATGTTATAGATATTGTTACTCTTTTCTATAAAGTTGGTCAAACTTAAAAAAAATTGACTGGCGCGGATTATAGAAATTGATTTATTTGGGGACAAAGGGAGTATATCAGTAAAGACACTCAGATAAGTAGTAAACCAGTAATTAACAGCAGCAAAACATTCCTCTACCATGAATACTGCTACATATAACATAAAAATCATTCAAGGATGCAAAGCTGCAAAAGGTAGCTCCTTATAACAAAATCTCTTCTAATTAAAACAAAGCTGGAAGATGCATAGAGGCATGCCAATTGTCAGGGAAAGACAAACCTTTTGGGAAGATTGCTTGGCTTGAGGACCACAACCTCCCATATAGCACAATACCAATTTCCAAAGGTTCAACTATGCTCTTAAATCGATGCACGACGTTGGCTATCCGAGGGCCCTTGTGTGCACCTCCATTCCTATTATGATTTTCTAGAGCAGGTTGCACCAATGCAGCTGAATGACCCCTAGCTTCTGAACCAGATAGAGATTCAGATTTTCTTTGAAGGCATCCATCACTTGGTTGCTGGTTACCAAAATTTGGATGCCCAAGATGGGCACCGCATGAACTTAAACCCCCATATGTATTTTTCACAAGTGAAGGGTCTATGAGAGACTTTGAAGCAAAGACACCAGCTGATGCTTCCTGAGATACACTTTGTGCTCTTAAAACAGTTCTCGCAAAGGGCTGACTTGATGAAGCGCAAGCCCTAGTCTCTGGTGTTACGTGCATTTGGTCCTTGTAAGAGTGACACTGAGTTGCATTAGTGTTAGATGCCATCAACCTATGTGAATTGTTTGAGCTCTCCATACTAAGATTCATGTTGCTTCCTTGATCAACCATTATTGGGGGAATGTTATGATGCCCACCAAGTGAAGATATACGGTCTCCAGCCCGAGAAGATTCTCTACTCCCGTGCTTACCGTGTGGCGCTGGCGCCGTCCATCTGTAACCACCTAGCACTACTGGAAACTCGAATTGTTCTGTGAGTGACGAATTTTTCTGTGCGTTTTTTTCGGTACGCACAGAAAAATTATTCTGTGGGTTTCAAAATATCCCGACAGAAAAATACGAAAACCCACAGAATAATTGTATGATTTTTCTGTGCGTTACAATACACACACGAAAAAAATCAGCACCCACAGAAAAATAAAACTTATTCTGTCAATTATTTTAAAACGCACAGAAAAAACGTACACACGCATGGAAAAAAACCAAGAAGTCCTAACCCTAACCCGCCGCGGACTCGCCCGCTCGGCTCCTCACGCACGCACGCTCCCCTCCCTCCCCTTCTTCCCCGCTGCACCTCCCTCCCTCCCACCCCCCACACTCCCCCCTCCTCCCCCCTTTGACCTGCCCATCCTCCGCTGGATCCGCCCTCCCTCCCTCCCTTCTTCCTCGGCGTGGCAGTGCCGCCGCCTCCTCTCCCCTCTCCCCTACCTTCTTCCCGAGATCCGGCGCGACTGGGCGTTCCCAGCGCTGCCCTCTCCTCTCGCTCTCGCTCTCGGGCGAGATCCGGTGTGATGCCGCCTCTCCTCTCCCCCTCCCCTACCTTCTTCCCCAGCGTGGCCCCTCCCTCCCTGCTCCCCACCGGCGAGATTCGGCGGCCGGTGCCGCCCTCCCCCCCTCCCCGTCCCCTACCTTTCCCCCGACGCTGCCCCTCCCTCCCGCCCCCATTGCAGACGAGATCCGGTGGCCGGTGTCGCCCCCTCCCTCTCCCCCCCTCCCCTACCTTCTTCCCCGGTGCGGCCCCTCCCCTCCCTCTCCCCACCAGCGAGATCCGGTGCGGCTTGGGGGCACAAGCATGTTGGCGTATATGTTGCTTGAGTCTAAAAATTAAGACCATGCATTAGCAGTTACTCTGTCTTTGAGGTAAAGAATGTGTCAGGCTCAAATGGCAGCAGCAGCTTATTCAAATTGTAGCAGCTAGGGGCAGCACTTATTAATTCTTTAACCCAAACAAAATCATTACATTGATCTGGTTGGTGTAATTCAATTTTTGGACAAATGGATTATACATTTATGACTGCTGTTATCTCTTTCTATTGGTTGTATGTCTTTCTCTAAAATAAAATGGTCTATATGCTTCTACAGATTGAAACAATGTCTTATTTCTTAGCAATAATTTGGATATTTTTGTGAAAGCGCTGACTAGTATAGCACCTCATGTATGTTACTAGTTTGGTACATGTCAAACTGCCTATTAAAACCATTTATTTTGTTTGGTTAATTCTTTGTTCTATTTTCTCATGTAGGTATGCAACCAGCAAATCTACGACTTAGGCCAAAAGATAGTGTGGTGAAGGAAAATGTAAAATAGACATGCCTCTTTGTTCAAGTGAGTTCCTTCTCTCAGGCTTTTTTGTCACATTGTTTCAGATGGGAAAACTGAGGTGACACATTCAAAAATATTTCAGCTTTAGGGGACTGAAATTGAGGGTGCATCCTGCAGCTTGGAGATGCTATGGAAACAATATCTTGAATATCTTGCATATATCAACCTAATCAATCATTTTGATATGTGATATTTGCGGAACTGAGATGATATGGAACCCCAGTCTCGTACCGCGCTGCTCTCCCCTTCCCTAACTATGCCTTGTGACTTTTTTGTTTTGTACTACTCTTGAGTGGCTGTGATGAATCAAGTTTCTATTAGAGAACTTCTGCACTTTAGCACCTTATGAGCTGGTACTTGGGATATTTTGTTCTGTTTGCTGCTTAACTAGGATGGCTTGTACCAGTTCAATTCCCATTAGAGAGAGAGAATTAAATTAAGCTCCAGGTGAAATTAAGTTGCAGTTGTCATGCTGATAATGGGTAAATCTGAGCCATTTCTCGAGTTCTTTTGCTCTTGATAATGGGTAAATTTCTGGAGATGGTCACTGTCTTGTGGTATTTCTTCTGTGAAATTTTGGTTGGAACTTTTGTCTTCTTCCGTTTGTTAGTGCTTGGCTGCTCCTCCCATTGGCAGTTACCATCTGCCTTCTTTTTGCCCCTGGCATTTCCCCACGTGTCCTGATCTACATTCAAACTCTGCCCATTCCAGTTGCTGGGATGCTCCCAATTGCCATGGCCATCATCAGACTTCTTCTCCCAGGCGCCATAACCTCCATCTCCTTTTCTTTTGTCCCATGTATTTTCTGATTTTTATTTGATGCCTCAGGAGTGCTGGACGACTTCTCCCAATTATCATCACCTGCATCTGAATCCATTTTAGCACCCTTATCAGCCCAAGTATCCATTTCCACTGGTTGTCCAGATACAATTGCCTCGCCTGTTGGCTTCTCAGTGCCCCAATCAGTGGAATTATCCTGCACCTTAGCATGCACTTCCCCCATGAATTATCTTGATCTGCTGGCTTTGCAGCCGCTCCACCTCCACTACTCTAGCCTCCCCAATCAGTGGAATATTTTGTGAGTTTTCATTTCCATTTAGGTAGATATAGCAATTTAAGATATTTTGTTCTGTTTGCTGCTTAACTAGGATGAGTGAAGCTTCCTGCGGCAAACAATGGCATGGCACATATGACACGGATCTATGTGCCGTCTGAGGCTTGCTTGTGTCAATAGCAATGTCTTCACTATTTGCTTGTATAGCATCCGCTCTGTTTGAATTGGTACTTCAGTCGTATGGTATGCTATTATGATATTGAATGCACGTTTTCCTACTGACGCAGGGTGTTTTCTCTCAACTCTCTTGGTGCATGTAGGGGACTGGTGGTAAATTTCTCTGATCTACAGGAATTGCTCAATGGATGTTCTCAGCTAGAGGTTTATAATTGTAGGAATTGCTCAATGGACTGGTGCACGTAGGAAAGCATGCTCCTAGTGTTTATAATTGTCCAATTAATAAACTAAAGTCAACTAATATAGAAAGTTTGTGGTATACATACCATGATCTGTATCTTGCTTTATATGTTATTACTTATTAGTTCTTGGTAGTGCCATCCTCATGATTTGTATGTGAGTCATTGATGAGCCACTATGATCAGACACACTTCTACTAGTGCATACCTTACTGATTTTGAATTGGCCTAACATTGTTCCAACCTTTTCAGAGTCTGAGATTGGCACTTGATTTCTCAACTTTTGTAAGAACCGACTGCTTACACTTGATAAATATGAGCTTATTTTATTGCCATATAACAATCTGATTTGAATATGTATGATTCACTTGCAAGGTGGTTAGCAATGTCAAATGGCCTGTTTAGAAACTTATTTTATTCACTTGCAAGAGTATATTAGATTGACAATACTACTATGCTTATGTGTCTACATGCCTATCCTGCTGAAATCCCTTATTTCTTAGCAATAATTTGGATGTTTTTTGTGAAATCGCTAATTGGCGTAGCACCTCAAAGTGTGATTCTCTCAACATTTGACTTCAATAGGATGCTCTCTGATTTGTATCATAGCTGTCTTTAGTGTTTTTCTTAGTGTATGGTAGATGTGCTGAAACAAGCATTGCTGATATAAACCATGCAGTCTAGTGTTCATGCTGCTGTACTTAGGTTTACAGTTTGACATCTGGAAGTTAGCTGCCAAGTTACTACCACTTTCGCTTTCTCTTGATTGTTTTCATCCAGCCTTTTAACATTCTTAAAACTGTTTGGCGCTGTACGAAATGATTGAGTATTTGTGTGCATGCTCCATTTGGTTTACTTCCATTTGCAATGTGTTCTGATGTCCTTATCTATAATGCCATGTCTTCATTTAATAGAGAATGATATAGTGCACTGACTATTTGTCCAAAATCTGAACACTTTTAGGCATGGGAATGAGTTTGCACCTACTGTTGGATTCTTTCTCACTACACACCCATCTGAGGTACTTCTTCCTATTGGCCTGAAGCATGTGTATTGACTGCAGAGAGGTTATTTGTACTGAGTATTTTTTATAGGATTAAAATGCATTCTATTCTCTGAGTTATTGACAATTCATCACCTATATGCTAAGGAAAATTATCATTTTTTATATATTTGGGATGAACTGTTGAATTGATCAATAAATCTACTAGATTATGACTCGTGTTTCTTTTATTATGTTTCGGCAGGAGGTATCAAATAAGATAGTGAATCATAACGTAATATGCTTTATAATTATCTTAACCTTCCATTTTTGTACTTTAATTTTCAAGCATTTCTTTTATTTTAACTTACTAAACAGAAAAGATGCATTAGCTATAGTATTGTGCAACTAGTTAATCCATTTGAAGTAATGCATAGCACATTCTTTTGTTTAGGTATATAATTATTCTATCCTGCCAATTTCTAAACTGTATTGGTTTTTCTTTTTAATCCTAAATTATAAGGCTTGTGCCTAATTTAGATGCTTGTTACCCTCTTTTTCCCTTGTTTATTTTGTTGTGTCCTAAGGATTTGTGCATAACACCTAAACATACTTTCAACTCTCAGCTTTCCAGCCAAATTAATTGAATTGGAGGGGGAATTCATGTCATTTCTCTTCTGGATCTGTCAATTTGCAAATTCTTAACCTATGTCCCTGTTCAAAGTTTTCTTTTGACAGGGACAAGAGGGAGTACAAATTTTCCTTCTATAGGATGAATACAAAAATAATAACAACAATAAATGTTAATATGGAAACTGATATATAAAAATGCACTTGGAAGTGTGATGAAATAATAGAAGCTAGAAGGGAAAAAATAATCGAAGTTAAAAGTAACAAAATCCATTCCATGCTGAAGATTCAAGTGGATAAATGTTTTTTTTCTAGAAAAAGGTTTCAACTGAAGAACTTACAGGAGCTCGTTCCAAACTCCAACAGGGTACTCGATTGCATCCTCTTCGACTATTTCTTGTCAAAGAACAGTCGACTGTAGTATATTAGTTTCTGAAACCTGCGTTTATCCTGTGCAGACTGACAAGGCATCCATGCTTGAAGAGATCATCAAATACGTCAAATTTCTCCAGCTGCAAGTAAAGGTTCGCTCACCACCACCACCATTCCTCTGTTCCATGCTGTCTGGCTTACCATCCTCTCCTCTCTTTGATCTGTATTTACTGTCTTGATTGAAGGTTCTCGGCATGATGAGCAGGCCGGGCACGACGGAAGCCGTCGTCCCGCCGCTCTGACGGAGTCCAGCACCGAGGTAAATCACATCACGCGAGCCTGAATGAACTCAGAATACATTGTGCGTGCTTCTTGTGACTGGGCTGCTGCTGGCAATGCAGAGCTCCGGTGGCCTTCTCCTGTCCCCGAGGTCAGGCTCAGGCTCAGACAGGCGGAGGCAGCCTATTGTCGTCTATTTTTGACATAAGTGTTGACTCCATTCATGATGAACTACTGATTTGTGTATTATTTGAATAAAACCTTGTTGGTCATGCACAGAAAGTACTATATGAAAAATATATTTTTTAATATGCTGTTGCTACTGTTTTAAAATAATTTTTTTGTGTGTTTAACTCTTTTTTCTTGGGAGGCTGGCTACATAGAATTTTTTTTTAATCTGGGCGAAATGAATTTTTCTGTGAGTTCACCTAGACCGACAGAAAAAAACATGTGTTTTTCTATACGTTTATTTCTTTTTTCTATGTGGATTAACATACAGAAAAATTAGTTTTAATCTAGACGAACGCAATTTTTCTGTGCGTGTAACACCCACAGAAAAATTGTTTCTGACGGCGAACACACAGAACAATTGAATTTTTCTGCCATTATATTTATGTGAATATTTTTCTGACGATATTCGTATTTTTCTGTGTGTTTTCGTAAAAAAAAATGCAAGATTCCAGTAGTGTAGGGTTTCGCTCCGCGGGTCTGCCCTATCGCCTGTTGTTGGACGGCGTTTGTCCTGCCGCCCTGTGCCGTGCGCGCGCCCCTGTCGCGATGGAGGGAAGCAATGCGCGCGATGTGGGGCCAGGGCAGCCTGCGTAACGGTCGAGGCTGTTTGCTACGTGGCACGGGTTCCCCAGATGGCGCCGTGTGTGAGAATGGTGAATCATCAGAGGAGACCTAATCGGGAATTATGCGGAGAATGGAACTGTTGGAGCCAGTGAATTCCACCAGTATTGCTCTGGGAATTATAACCTTTGCTATGAAATTCCTGGGTAGCAGATGGGGCAAATTACTTTTGCTCCTTCATCATGGGGTGCACCGTGGACAAACTGTAGACATGTGGCTTCTGTAGTCCAGTGTAACGCTGCCAGCCTCATCTGCTAAGAAACTGGGTAGAGACTTGGTTCTCCAACTATTATAGGTCTTCAGAATCTTATCAGATTGATTGCAATCTCAGCAGTGTTGAATTCACCGTCTATTCCAGTTCCCTGTCTTCGTTTAAGTGCAAGGGGCCAAGGGCTAATTACTTAAATTGATCAGGGATTTATAAACGCCATGACTGGGATTGCGTGTGATGTGAATTTCATGCTTCATCCACGATTTTACAATGAAAGCCTATCTAATTTATGAGTGATGATCTTTTCTATTTAGATGCCTTGCAGTTTCTTTTTTACACTACTAGAGAACAGACTTTAGAACGATATTCCAATTTGGCATTAGCCTCGGTATTTTTGTGCCCAATGGTCGTCTGAGTGGCAGGGATCTTTAGTCCCGGCTGGTATTACCAACCGGGACTAAAGGTTTTAGTCCCGGTTTGGCCACCTAACCGGGACTAATTATGCGGGCCTATACAACGGCTCATTTCTTCCTCTCCGAGCCCGAGCCATTCCATTCAAACTCACTGCCTCTGTTCTTCAGCTTGCTGTTGTTCTTGCTCTCTCCCCCTCCATTGGTGTTGCTCTTCGATTTTGGAGGTAACAAACTTAATCCTCTTATGTTTTATCAGTAGCTTATCTCATTTTGCGATGTAGATGCATGTGTAACTTTATATGTTGGACTTTATTATGATTTTATATGTCATTTTTAGCTCAAAATCACATGATGATTTGCATATATGTTTGGATAAACAAAAGTTAAATTAGTTCATCAAAATCACGCCTCGCTCGTCCTCACTGGAGCACGCGCCATCCTCGTCCCTGGCAGATTACGTGATCTTATAATTAATTTTTTCATGAAATGAAAAACTTAGAAAATAGTTAGAAAATTATAGAAAATCCGTACTAGTTGAACTTGCGGACCGTGATCATCTCGGCGAGCATTTTCTCTGCCGAGCGGTAACGGACGTCAAGGAGGAGCTTTGATTCTACGAGGGAGAGCGGCAACGGTCGTGGAAGACCGTGTTCCCTTCCTCGTAGAATCGGAGCTCTTCCTTGGCCAAGTACGGTGCCGTCCGGTGGAGAAATGCTCGCCGAGATGATCACGTAAGCAAGGTCAACTAGTACGGATGGTTATTTATTGAAACATGTTTTTGAGCTATGTGATTT